TACACAATCACTTCCGGTCTTATTGGCAGGGGATCTACAGACCCATGGGGGCTCCTGGAAGGTGCCTGCAGATTTACATTAGGGTCCCCTGAGAAGAGCTCCCTTCCACTCCCTCCAGGATGTAGTAGACCTTTAGTTGGTTCTCCCGACCCTTCACATTCAACCTGTTGAATGCTGCCTCCAGTTCTGACAGCCTAGTTTCAGGACCTTTTACTATGCCACCTGCGTTTCCATGGCGGACAGGAGAAATTTGGTCATTTTCTCCTGCTTCTTGACCCTCCAGCAAAGTTCATTTATTCTCTCTTCTAATCTATGAAGGATGTTGGCGATCCCATCCACGCTTTCCAGCACGGTTTGTAGCATCTCTTTCAAACCTTCCTCCATGGTCTCTGGCCAGATCTCGATAGGGGATTCCGGTGGGGATGATGTCTTGGCCTTCTGCTGGGAGCTCTGGTCTCCATTCAATATGGGGAAACTCTTTCCTAGTAACGAGGCAGGCCATCTGGAGTGGTACCTAGGCCTGGGTCTCAGTGGACGAGGTGCTTGACCTTTCCTTCCTTGATACCGGAGGTTTGATCATCGGAAGGCCCTTTCTACGTTCACTGAGGAAAACAAGAGACTAGAAGACTAAAAATAAATCTGTTTGGGATGATTACGGGTAGAAGTGAATAGAGGTAGGAGCGATCCGTACCATGCTGCTCACTTGGTCATGTCAGTGGAGTAGGGAAAGGAGAGCAGAAGTGTGGGAATTATGAGGGAGGTTAAATATGATCTAGGCAGAGGCATTTTATATCTGTTATTAGAGGTGTGAAGGCATAGGCAGGAAGGCCGAGAAAAAGTTAATTGCAGTAGTCAAGGTGTGAGGGAATGAACCAGGAGTTTAGCAGCAGACAGTTAGATGAGGGGACAGATTTCGCCAATGTTGAAGAGGTGAGAGTCGCACGCATGAACCGTGGCAGAGATGTAGTTGGATTTTTCTACCCGATCTTACATTTACATGCAAATTCCATCACTAGCCCCGCCCACATCGCTTATGACCCTTGGGCTACACCCATCTCAAACCTTTAGAACATTCTCCCTCAGCAGCTCTCCCGCAATTTTTTACCTGATGATGATTGCTTGTGTTGTGATCGAAACGTCGTGATTTTTATGTTATGTTTTCTACCTACGTGGCTTCACCGAAAGACCAAAAGAATGTGCTTGGAGAAGGAGGAGTTGAAGATGACGCTGAGGTTGCAAGCAGAGGACATGGGAGGAGTGAGGGGGAAGGGAGGCAATGATATGGTACTACAGGGTGGAGGGGAGTGGGGAATAGGGAAGAAAGGAATTTGAGTTTTGGAAGAACTGATGTAGAGGTAGTGGCGTTACATCCAGGATTGGACATTTGTTAATCAATCAGGAATATGGTAGGACAAGTGATTGGTAAAGGAGGGAAAGAAAAATCTGGGTGTTGTCGGTGAAGAAATGATGGGGAAAGTTAAAAAATTACAGCTTCCAGAGATGAGATACAGAAGTTGCCATGTACAGGGAAATGTAATTCACTGGGAGAATCTGTGGTGTAGAGTCAGGGCCATCTATAAGGGGGTGTGGGGTCCGGGGCAAACCGCACTGTGGGCCCCCTGACCCCTCAAACTAAACGATAAGTATTACGTCCTGTATGTGTGTTGAACTTCTTTCACACTGTACGTAGCCAACCGTGCTAATCGCAGGTGCGGGGAAGGACAACAAACTAAAGACAAAAATAAGTTCTAAAGAAGTTTATTTTCAATCTAGATGTAAAAGTGCATAGCTCCAGTGGCTTCCTAATATTGGAAGGTAGAGCGTTCCAGATGGCCGCAGAAGTGCATCAAAAAGCGTGCAATGCGGTGACCATCTTCTTTCGATGGATAGCCAAAAGCCGCTGCTGTGAGGGTGACCAGAGTTTGCGTGATGATGGTTTGTGCTCCTTGACGAGATGAGCAAGGTATTGTGGTTCATTTGTGGAAAGTATATTCTTGGTTCTTTCGGTAAAGTCACGTAGAAGGGAAATAATAAAATAATAAAAATTTAACATAATCATTTTTTTTTATTATGTTTTATTTAAATTTTTGCTTTTTATTATTTTATTATTTCCCTTCTACGTGACTTTACCGAAAGAACCAAGAAGATGAATCCCTGCAGTTACGAAAGCTTTAAATCGAAATTGTGGCAAGTACTTTGTGTGTAATGAGCGCAACCTTATAATCCTTGACCTTGAAGCACGGGCCCCCCCAAAGACTGGAGCCCGGGGTGGTTGCCCCGATTCACGTTACCTGTGCAGAGTAACTTATCTTTGTATTGATGACAGGTTGGACACTGAAGCAGATGGCAGGTTTTCAGTACAGTATTTACTCATCACCAAAGCGAAATACAGCAAAACACTTCTCTCAACAACATCCTGCAAAATGCAGGTGTGTGTGTGTGTTTGTTGATGTTAGCCGAAATGCTGTTACTTGTGCATAAATAGTGTCGATATTAGCACCGGAGTGCTGTTACTTTAGCTTGAATAGTGTCAATGTTAGCAACAGAGTGCTGTTATTTGTGCATCAATAGTTCAAGTTTGTGTCTTTCAATGTAGACAACACCCACACGTTCGAGAACAACGCCACAATAGAAATGCCATCATCAGTCAGGTAGTTTACCTCTTTACAAACCAGATGATTATATTTCACAGGACAGCTGATTAAAATGAATAACAACACTTTCCCTAAACACGTCCCTTCTCTCGGTGTGAATGTTTACATTAATGTAGGCTATTAACACTGAGGAACATAACCATGCATATTATTAAGCAATACACCTTTTAAGTACATGCTTATTCAAGGCATCATATTGATTAACTGCGATTAACTCATCAGGCAATATGCACTGCATATTTTAAGATAGCATAATCCATCTGATCTCGATCTCAACTGGAAATTATATCTATTATATATTATCTCTATGTGAGTCTATGTGACAACGTGTGAGCCTATGGGTCTCTTTGTAAGTCGATGGTGACCACTCCACTTGAGAACCCAGTTTAATTACAGGCAGTGGTTGAACCCGGATTGAACCCCAGGGTTACGCACGCCAAATGGCAATCAAACCAGCACCATTGAGTTTCTGGTTCCATGTCTCTAACACCGTTGCACTCTTTAAAAAGACACCAAGACTCGAGGCTCAAACTACAAATCACTACTATTTCTGGTTTAGTGTTTGAGAGAGAGAGAGAACACACATAGTTAGAACCTTAGAAGTTGAAAAGAGGATATCAGAAGCCCTTTATTTATATTATTGAAATGGAGCCCACGACAGTAGTTCGGTATATCCCAGAGGAAATCCATACAGAACGGTGGGAGAACACAAACTCCACACATTGCAGGAGTGTATAATATTTTCGTTGTCTATAGTCACGTGTATACACAGCATTATATGCATATTCACTTCTAGCATGGTTCTTCATAAACACATTTTACCCTATGATCTCTACTTGTAGCCACTATATACTCTAGGCATGAGTGATATTAGTGAGCACCTGTTAAAGTAAGTTGATGTTTACACCCAGTACTAGGTACTAATTTACACCTGAGTCATTCTAGCAAAAAACTCAATGCTCATATTACTTTGCAACCAAGAATGGAAATCATGTCTCTGGTTGTTGCTGCAGGGCGACTGCCTCCAACTGCCCAGTAGCGTCCTTTCCAAGCCTCCTCCATAGAGGCTGATCTTAACACTGCTTGTACCAGTCATCGGCAAGTCCACACAGCTCCCACATTCACCTGTGCCACATCAGTCCATGTCTTCTCTAGTCCATGCCGTGCCTGTTTAGTCCCCTCTATCTGGCCAAACAAGCGCTGTTTGGCATGCGTTGGCTGGGCATGTGGGCGACACGACCCAGCCAATGCAGCCTTGCCCACCGGAGGAGTTCGCCAGTGGGGATGTTTCCAGATCTTTCAAGTAATTGTGAGAACAGCCCAGTGCCCTGTCCTGTTAAAGGGATCTTAGGCCTTGACAAGATCAATAAGGCAGAGATGTAAATCTTGTTGGAACCCCCTACACCTCTGCGATAGCAGACAGAGAGATAAAAAGGCATCTGTGCAGGACCACCCTGGTCTGAAACCAAATTGCCCAGCAAGGGGATGTTGAATAATCCTTCCCAGGACCTTTCCCAGCACATTGAGGAAGGAGTTGCCTCTGTAGTTACAATTTGTGTGGTCTCCCTTTTCTAAAGAGGGGAACCACCAGGGTATCCTTCTAATCCTGCGGAACCTGTCCTGTGGTCCACAGTTGTAATGATGTCATATAGCGCATTCTGCACAGTCACCACTCTCTGTCCCTCACACCTAAACACACACACACACCTACATACACAAAGAAGACACACACAGTTACGTAATCAATGCAGACCCGTGCTGGTGAATGATAAGAGTGGCTCCTGCTTCATGCCTATCTCACCTGATCTTCCTCCTACATCTAATACAACTGGGTTAATTTCCTTTAGTTCGTATTCCCTGTTGAGACATAAGTGTACATGTGTCAATCGCACATCCCCACCCTCACCCACGTGCAGCATGTGTCATTGGCATGGTTGGGAGTCTAACCCAGGCACACACCTGCCTGTCACCCGCCTAGAACTATTGACCATAACAATCAATGACCCTTATTTGGCGGACATCCTTTATTTAACCACGTTAGAACCCATTGATAGGAGATGATGCATCAAGCATCCTCTATGATTAGCACAGTCTTACATCACAACCCCCACTCACATGAAACATCTGTCACTGACAATTTCCACGACTGAGAGTCTAACTCAGGGGTTTCAACTGCCAGGAGCTTAGGCAGGCTCCACTGAGCACAGTTCAATCATGGGCAGGTGGTGAGCTGGAGTTAAACGCAGGCCCTTGGAGAGGGCATGCTCAGGGTAAGTGACATGGCCATTATGAGCCGTGTTCTATCACTCACTGTGAAGTGTTGGTGCAGGTGCGGTCGGTACTCACAGGGTTTCTGTTTCCCTTGGATGACATGGTCTCTTGTTCCAGTAGAAAAAAAAACACTCCAGCAACCGCAACCAGAGCAGCAATGACTCCAAGGGCGATCCAAACTACATGTGATAAAGCTGGAGCTTGAGTTGGCATGGGAGTTGTATCTGTTGGTTCTATTAAACACACATGACACAGAAAGACGTGAATACCCAACAGATGCACACAATTTACATCTCCTTCCTCTTCCTGCCATTTCCTCCTCATCTTGTGTGGTCTTTGCCTTCATGCTCTGCTCATTGCTGTCTTGGGCCACCTCCGTATCCACTCCCCAGTCTCTTGAATCCGCGTTCACTACTTCTACTCCCTTGCTCTTGGCCTGCCCCTGTCTCCACCCTGGTGCCTCCACCACAAACTCATGTGCGAAGACAGTCCCATTACGGCATTTCCCCCAATCGTTTGATCTCTGTATTCTCTGTGCACCTCCTTCACCGCTAATTCCTGTCTTGAGCTATCTCCATATCCACTGCACATGCTTAATCAGCAATTAAATTATAACAATAACGTTTAGTTTTATACAGCGTTGCCATTAATCACGCATCTCAGAATCGCCGAGGACTCACAGAAGAGCTGGAATGTAGCCAGGCGGTGACATGATCGTACAAGCAATCTCTAAAATGTGAAGAAGGAGTCTAGGTGTATACACTATAGGATGTGACATCTGTGAGGAACAACAGAGCCTGTAGCACAGGGTGGATGACAATCAGTGGTTGTGAAGTTCTGGGTCTTAGGAATTGAACGAATTTGAATTATAGCTTTGGGTTATGGGGAGAATGATGAAGTAGTGGATGTTAACTAGATCCAAGGAGGACATAATGCAAGCCTGGTCCATTGTGAACGTTCAGCTGCAGATACCCAATGTCTTCCATGCTTGGCCTGTCGTATCGATAAACCGTGATCTCACAGCGATATCGTCCAACGTCATGGGTCTGGATGTTGCTGATGGTGATGGAGGCGTTACACTTGAACTCATCACCCACCCACGTCACCTGCAATGGTCTATGGCTTTTCTTTCTGTTTATAATCTTATACACCCTGTGGTCGACAAAGGTGATAACGCACACAGATAAATGATACGATTCGAGGGTGGAAATGTGTGTACTCATAATACATAGTTTAAAACGTAGGCTTTCCCGACTAATATTATCCATAACAAACGTTGTTTACTCTCCAACACACCGGTGTGCTGAACTAGTGACAAACCTTACTAATTGGCTATGTCGGGTGGTGGGTTAACGTCAAATTTATAATTACGCAATCTAACCCAAAACACCTTTATTATGAATAATATTGGTTATCATTTAAATAGCTGTCATTATTTTAAACATTATTTAAATAGTTGACATTATACATCACTAACGCTGCATTCTAACATAAAAAGATGAGCCAATATTTTGGACAATGGCTCTTGTTCGGATGAGAGATAGAGCAGAGAACTGGATACTATTACACTGGTGTCTGAAAAAAAACATGTCATCATCTTTCTAAGCAGAGGGCGTAGATAAGACTGTGCAAGTGTGATCGTGACACACCTCATCGTGTCCGTCTTTGGTCCTGAACCACTCGACCAGCATGTGTCTAATTTCCGTGATCTTGCAGGTGTAAGAGTAGGACAGAAGAACCATGCTGCTGACGGGTCTCCTTTGATTGGGTGACAACGGCGAGGTCTGTGGAAAAACTCACGATGGTTACATGAGCAGTGGGAATGAACCTCTGGAAGAGGTACTGTGCTCACATCTATTTGAAGTACAATGCTTCATGTTAGAGAACAATCTGCAGATGCAAATATCACAGAGCTACCTAAGCGTCCATTCAAGTAACGTCTGGTCCACAAAAAAAATCTCCACACACTCATCCGCAACACTGTGCCCTAAAAAATAAATGCATAGCTGTGACGTTTCAGGCAATAACCCTTCCTCAGATCTCATTAAATAGAGAGGCCAGAGAGATGGTGTGATTCGCGGTTTGAGACTGCACTTCACACCATGGTGCCTGATGATAATTCAAACTTGGAAATATTTTGTGATGACCGTTTTACTTAAAAAAGAAACAGATCTTCAAATGCTCATGGAAACTAAGTGCAGCTCCCAGCTGTCTATCTCTCTCAGACCTCTGCGTATGTGCTTTCAAGAAAGGCCACGATCCATAATGTCACCGATTATTGTTTAAAACCTCAGTGTCATGGACAAAAGTGTTGAATATTTATTTGTTAAGTCTGATCTTGATTTGTTAAATCTGCTTGTGCACCACTGCCAATGCACCATACAATCTGGACCAGACAGTAACGCCTTCATAGACTGTACCGTGTTTCCACACAGAGCAATGTTGAATGATTGACAGTGAAACAGACATATTTTAAATGTTTAAATCTTGAATATATTTATTTACGCTGGTTTACCCTGGAAATGCTCAACGAGTCTCAGCACTCTTTTGTCAGGAGGGTGCTGCCAAGTGGTCTCAGTAAAGGACGATATTGCATTTGCTTGTGGAAGCAATGCCAACGGCTGTTCCCCTCGTGGCACTCGTAGCCACCACAGCGGCCAATGGTGGCTCTGGACGGGTGATTGGGGTGAGAGGGGCTGGTGACCCCTCCACCTTCAATTAAATATCAAACTAAGCTTGTGCCAGATGCCTCGGGAGGGGACAGGCACCTATGACAGCTCTTGGTCAAGCCCCATTTTGCGGAACCAGGAGACTGAACACGCACCCTTAGAGTTCCTCCAGAAATGGCAAAAAGCCACTGCGAGTGGCCATGTAGAATATTCAAATGCTCACTATGCAGTAGAGGATGCCATTCTTCTGTCGGGAGCTATACCGGTTTCGCCTGGATCTTTGTGCTATTCAGGAGGTGCTGTGGACTAGTTCTGGCTCCATTCAATTTGAGGGGTGAACAGTCCTCTATTTGGGGCAGAAAGAAGCCAAACCACAGGGAGTGGCTCTTCTTCTGAACAGTTTAATGAAGGGGGCGATGGAGTTTTGGGGGACGGTGTGGGAAGCTGTAAGTCCCAGGCTTACACCCCCCACCGAAGATGAACATCAGTTGGAGGGATGCAGGCAAGGCCGATGAGTCAGAAGCTTTTTATGACCTCCTGTTCCAGGTGCCTGCAATGGTCCTTCTGGATAGTCATCCTTTTGGGTAACTTTAATTCCAGAGTTGGTCATGACGCAGGCACCTGGGCTGGAGTGATTCGAAGGCATGGGCCTGATAAGTTCAATAACGGTAGGAGGCTGCTCGACTGCTGTGCAGCCCATGGGTTTGTAATCACCAACAGGCGTTTCCTGCATTGACACATTCACACAGCTTCATGGATGCACGCCGGGTACAAATAGGAACATCTGCTGGTTTTTTAGTGATGGAACAGTGGATGCAGGTGAATATCCTTGCCACCAGAACCTACCGTGAAGATGATCTGCTCACTGATCATCGTCTTGTAATCAGTAAAATATGCATACCATTTTTTCACTCTGGTGGTGGGTGTCCATTTAGACCCCATTCAAAACCCAATTGCATGGTCACAGCTAACTTGTGAAACTTGCAAGCAAGAATATTATCATCGTCCACCCTCCTCTTGATGCGGAGTGAACATTGGTGAGGTTCAAGACTGTGGCTCATACAGCTGCAATAGCTGCTTTGGGTATGCGGTCCAGACCTCCCCAGAGTCTCTGACTAACAGAGGAAGTGTTCCGGCTGGCTGATAAAAAGTTACAGGCCCACACCAATCATCTACAGCATCCCACATCGGAAAATGCGGAGGCTTACCGCAGCCATTGTTCAGAGTGGTGGTGACGAGTTGCTAAGAAGATGGTATCTGCGTCAGTAGCTCGTGATCACAAGCCATTCTTAAATTCCTTCAAAACGATTACTTGCAGAGCCACACCTATCACAATCCTTAGGAAAAAGAACTGTGATTTGATCTCCGACCCTCAGGGACTGGTTTGCAGGTTTAATAAGCTCTGGTGCTCCCGATATTTAAGAAGAGGGATCACACAGACTGTAACAACTAGAGAGGTATCTTCCTCCTCAGTGTACTGGGAAATGTCCTAGCAAAAATTATTCAACATTGTTTTGCAAGGAACGCTGAGGATAGGCTTGCAGAGCCCCAATGTGGTGAAACGCCAGGGTGGACCTGCATGTACGCCATAATCTATGTTCGTTTGCTACAGGAGAAATTTAAGGAATTTTAACAGGATCTACATCACTGCTTTATTGACCTGGTCAAGGGCTATGATACCATCAATAGGACAGGGCTCTGGGTTTTCTTCGTGCTTTGGGAGTCCCTGATTCCCTGCTCACATTCATTAGGGATCTTCATGATGGTGAGCAGGCTCAGGTAAAGATTTGTGGCCGGGAGTCACAGCCATTCACTGTTTACCTCAAGGTGCGACATGGATGTCCTCTGGCGCCTAAATTATTTAACATCTTATTTGATAACGTTGTTCGAGAAGTTTTCCATGACTCTGTAATGCGAGCGTAAATGGGCAGGTCGGATGTGACGATCCTGAGAGGTAGGAGTCAGGGTCACGTGGGAGAGGGAGGAGTCAGGGTCACGTGGGGGAGAAGTTATAGCGAGGAGACAGGAAGAGATCTGGGGCAGTCGAGGGAGTGAAGAGGGGAGACCACGTTGGGTGGTCGCCGTGCCTCAGCCTGGTGGCAGAGGGGCTCATGACGGCGCCAGCCAGCGGGGTGAGGAGAGAGCAGAGTGTGCGGGGCACACAGGGCGTGCAGGGGTTGCACGGAGCAGCCGAGTAGCTGCAGACTAGCGGAGGCTAGCACAGGGCGTGCGAGGTTGCACGGAGCAGCCGAGTAGCTGCAGACTAGCGGAGGCTAGCAGAGGGTGCGAGGTTGCACAGGCAGCAGAGTAGCTGCAGACTAGCGGAGGCTAGCAGAGGGTGCGAGGTTGCACAGGGCAGCAGAGTAGCTGCATAGAGAGTGCGCGGGGCGCAAGGAGCGACAACGCTGGACCGAGGAGGAGGCCAGCGGGGTGAGCGGAAGACGAACACAAATAAAGGACCGACGGAGATCAACATCGTGTGACGGAGTCCTTTATTACAACTCTACCAGAGGAACTTCCATCTGG